CCCTCCATCCATCCATCCATCCATCTGTCCGTCCGTCCATCCATCCATCCATCCATCCGTCCGTCCGTCCATCCGTCCATCCATCCATCCATCCATCAGTATGTCCATCCATCCCTCCATCCATCCATCCATCTGTCCGTCCGTCCATCCATCCATCCATCCGTCCGTCCGTCCGTCCATCCGTCCATCCATCCCTCCATCCATCCATACACCGTGATTTTCGGTCCGACTTTCCAGTCGTGCGAGAATCTTTCGATCAAGTCGACTTTCAGTCTGATCATGCGTCGTGAGTCATGTAGTGTACAGGGGGCAACGAGGGGCGATGAGCCTCTCACGACGACCTCCGGATCAGGAATCGTACAAACATGTTTGATTTTCTCCCGACCGTCGTCGGCAAATCCCTCAGTGGGCAAACAAGGATTCTTCTTCTTCTTCTTCCTCTCAGATGTAAACCCAGCATCATGGCGGGGGGGCAATGAGTGAAATGGAGTTCTTTCGGTCAAACTGTCAGACTGTAGTAGCCACGTTAGCTCAGCCATGTCTTTGTCCAAATACGTTGTCTCCTTTTCTTTTTAGGGCTTTCAGCACTAAATTGCCCAAATATCCAAGGCAGCGCGTTTCACTCTAGTGAGCTTCATGTTCCTCTGCTACTGGTTTGGCTTCAGATAGACGAGTCCGAGTAGCGCCATCTGACTGCGGAGCTGAGTCCCACCTGGTCTTTAGTTGCGCAGTTTGAGCAGTAGCTGCATGCAACGACTTAACAAATCGCACAGTGTACGCCCGGCTTAAAACAAATAAAAGTTGGACGTTTGCTGCCTGACTGTTTTTCCTGCTAAATTAGTAGCAGAGTTATCGCAGTGATACCGTTTATCTTCTGCAGCATTATCATCATCTGAAATACGAAGCTCTGACAGTAATGACCCTAAAATGACATGAAGATGATCTACTGTGAGGTTTCTCCCTACGTTTCCTCCTAACCTCAGCTCAATAAGCTGCAACAGCCAATTACATCCTAACTGTGGAACCTGGAATCAACATCAGATCAGCGGGCCGTGAGAGAGCATTACTCCGCCTGAAGTCCAGCCAACCGGGCCTGGACTGGGAGAGGAGCTGGTTTGGGCCCAGAGAAGGATTTCTGCACAGAACATGGAAATAAGGAGGGAATGAAAGCGGAGGAGACATTCCAGCCGCTAACAGGCTAATCTCTTCCATCCGCTGGACCGCGCTGCAGCCAACATCACACAGCTTCGCTCCAAGAACCAAAGAACAGGTCTGGGTTTGTTCACACACTCCGAGCCGCTCTAAACCACAGAGTATTTAAACTGAGTCTGATCTGAGCTGCCCAGATAATCAGGAGGCTTTAACTTGGTTCTGTTCTGATGAACATCTAGCTCGGCTTCTTCGTTTAGAGACTGACCAGAACCTCACAGAGAGATCCATCTACTCCCCTCCATCCAAGGTTCTGGGACCATCTCCATCACTAATGATTGTTAATCAGAACTGTTCTTATATGGGCTCTCTGGTTCTGAAGAGGACGTTTTATGTTGGATCTGTCATACATAATGTCAGGAACATGTGGAGATCATTGGTTCTGGTCCAGCAGCTCTGATCCATCCAGACATCCAGAAGGTTCCAACCAGCAGAGGCTTTCCTCACATAGACTTCAGGTTCTGGTCAGTTTGTGCTGAGAAGCTGGATCCTCTCCTACCAGGAGGGAGGGTTTGGAATCTTGGATTTCATCTCAGCAGCTTCCTCCCTCAGATATACAACAACAGACTAATCAGATGTTTGGGCATTATGGTAGAACTTCTCTTAATCTCCTTCTCTGGTTCTGGAGCTTCCTGGATGCATGTGTCTGTTGCTTCTCCTTAAACCAGGATCCATGGAGGCGGGAGCAGAAAAGTTCCTGATAGAGGATCCCTGAAGATGAAGGTCCTAAGATGCAGAGGGGACATCTGCAGAGTTTTTCCTGAAGGATTACATCCTCCTCCTCCTCCTCCTCCTCCTCCTCCTAAGCAGAACCTCGCCTCTGAGCCAAAGGTCCAGTTTTATCATGTTTCTGTGAACTTTTGATCTGGATCCACTCTCAGCTCTCATTCTTGGCCCTCGGTTTCCTCCAACACATGTTTTCTTCCTTTTTCAGAACCAAAGCCCATAAATCAGCTGATAGATGCTGGTTCTGCTCGGTCTCTGATGAGCGGGTTGACTTTTTGGGGGGGGAATTCTGCTGTTTTTATTTAGCGATGCACACGCTGAGGCCGTGACCCGATGGGCTCAGATTGAGGAGTGCATCATTGAAGGTGTGAATAAGCTGGTTCTGTTTCCCTAAACTTTGGTCTTCTTCTCAATTTTGCATTGAGGAATAAATGCTGATGGTTTTTCATCTCAGAGATCTGATGATAAATGGTTCTGAAGGTTCTGCTGAACCAGAACCCACAGCCGGGTCCTCTGATCCAGGAGGACATCTCTGAAAATGCAGCGTGAAGATCTGCTGCAGAATGATCTGGTACTGGAAGCTGCCAATCTAGCCAGAGTTCCTGGTCTGGAACACCTTGGTTCAGAACCTGGGTGAGATGGTTCCTGCTGGGAACTTCAGCGGCTCCATCATCCCTGTCAGCGGCACTAGAATCATGATAAATTCCTTCCACATGTTCTCTGGGTTCTGTCCCGCTTCTTTTGGCTTTATTCTGATTCATCAGGACTTTATTGTGGTTCTATTGGGGGACCGGGTTCTGATTTTTTCACTCGTCATGTTGTCCAGTTCTTCTGTTCTGGGCCTGTAATCTGGATTTTTGATGCTAATTTTATTTTGTTACAGTCCTGTTTTATTGTTTTTAATCTGGGATATTCTGTTATTATTGTGATTTTTTATGCTTGTTTGTTTTATCATGGATGTGTTCTACGGAAGAGGATTAGGGCCACTGAAAAAAGAAAAAAGTTAACTGATTTTTACATTTTATTTCAGTTTAACATTCTGAGATTAAAGTCAGAATTCTGAGAAAAAGTCAGAATTGTGACTTTTTTCTCATACTATACTGAAATAAAATAAAAACAAATCTGTTAACTTTTTTTTTTTTTTTTGTGGCCCTAATCCTCTTCCGTAATGTTCCATCATAACACTGTTTTAATTGTTTTATATAATTATTTTTCTCTTAATATTCAGTTTTATTGGGTTTTTTTATCTTGGTTTTATTCTGTTAACATTTTTTTATTGTTTTTATTCTTCTTGTATTCTGTCATAATCCAGTGTTGATTTGGTTTTGTTATAATCCTTGTTTTGTTTTGTTTTTTTTCTATTATAACCCTGTTTTATTCTTTTTAAATTTTGGTTCTGTTTTAATCGGAATCAGATTATCTGTTCTGTTTCCTCTGATTTTAACTCTGGATTTAAAAAGTTGTGTTTTAGCTCATATTCGTAATACTTTTTATTCTTTTCTGCTTCAGTAGGTCAAAGGTCATGACTCAAAACCAGTTTATTGCACAGTAGGGTTAGAGTGCTCAGATTCTAAGTGTCCAACAACTGAAAATCTTGGACCATAAGGGTTTGGTGAGGAGAGATTATCTGTTTAGATTATGCTTGACTCTGTTTGTAACTTTAAGATATTTTCAATGTTTTATTGGATGAGAAGTCTCTCTCTCTTTTTTATCTCATATGTTTTTGACTCTTCTCCATTTGTAGCAATCGGTATCATATTTTCCAATAAGAAGGACCAAATTAACTGAGTCTGGAATATATATTTCTAGACATTATAGATCAGTATATGTTCCGATCTAAACTTTGAATGTCATCAATTCAGAGTAAAATCCAATCGTCTAAATGAGGCCAGAATATTTGGAAGAACGACTCAGGAAACCAGGTTCTACTTCAGATTTAATTCTGTTCTTTAAACATTTAATAACAGATTATATTTAGTATTGAGTTTATTTAACCTTTGAAGAAATTGTTCATTTAATAGATATAAATAAGCACTGCTGAGGAACATGTTCCCTAACGAGGGGGGGAGGGGTTAGATCCTCTTTTATTTTGGAATATGTTTCATAATTGTTTTATTAATTAATTAATTAATTATACATTTATTATTGATTATATCTTGTAATTATTTCCCATATATGTTTGGAAAAGTGAGGAAAATGTGATGAATTTGAATGTAACAGAAAGTTGTAGATGAAGCGAATTAAGCGCTGAGGTTTGGTGTATTTGATTATGTTGTGATTCTTTGCATCAAAGGTTATATTTCATTTTAGGTTTAATTTTTTTTAAATGATCACAAACATCTAATAAACATCTAACGTAAACTATTGCCTCACTGCGCCGATCCTTATTGCAAATTATCTCCCAGTTGTGTCAGTAAACAGAAACACTGAGAATAATTCAGTTAAAAACGTCATTTTCTGTTTGTTGGAAGCTGAATCATTTGATGGGAATTCTGTTTATTACCGTCGGTTGGATTATTGGGAACGAACCAAATCTTCTTCCCTCCAGAACCAAGAGGGCAGCTGAACTCATGTTAGAAAATCTGCATCTGGATGAAGGAGAAGAATCTCTGGATAGAGGAGGCCGACGTAGAGATTTTGGACCAGAATGGACAGAACAGTGAAACACAGATTAGAACGCCTCAGACCGGCTTTAAAGCACGGTAGTGGGGGAATGCTGATCTGGTTTGTTTGTTTTTTTCTTCTCTGACAGAAACAATGATTGATCCAGTTCTAATCTGATCTGTTCCTCCTCTACTGCCTTTCGGTTCTGGTTCTAACGTTTAGATCCAGCTGCCTGCCTGCGTAGTTCCAGCTCATCAACAGACGGCGCCTGAAGCGACAGAGAAACTGAGTTTCTCTGTGTTTCTCTGTCATTCTGAGTCTGATGTTCCAGAAACAGGAGGATCTGCTGGGATTTAAGAACATCACCAGAACCAGTGATTCATTAAGAACTGAGATGAAAACAGATCCGACCAGAACGGACTTCTGCCGATTGCTGTTGTTTGATGAGGAGGTTCTGCTCTGGCTGAAATACCAGCATCTGGTCTGGTCAAACATGTTGACCCATTTCTGATTCTTCTCCTAGAGCATTTTCCTGCTCAGGCTGAGCTCTTCTCTCAGATTAAAGCTCAGCTTATGAATGATGCTGCAGGCTGAGCGCTGACTGGACCAGAACCACCTTGAAGCTGCAGCTTTGCAGCGCATCAGGACCTGCAGACCCGTCGGATTTGTTTAAATCAATAATCTGAGTGAAGCTGAAAACATGCCTTAAAGATCAAACCAAGGAAAAGATTTTATTATCTGCTTCTAAAACCAGGTTCAATACGAACGTTGGGAACAGTCAGCTGGCTGCAGTTTTAATAGAGGTCAGGAAAAACGTCCAGAAGCAGCAGGAGGATGTGATAAAACAAGGTTCTTTTATTAAAATGCTTCAGATGTTTGTTTTTTTTATTTTTTGTGTTTCATATTCATTCATATATATATTTATATAGTGACTTATTTTACACTTGGGTCAAAAAGTTTGAAATACACAGAAACAAAAGTGCTTCTTCCTCGCTGACACAAGCCTGAAAATGATTCTAACAGAGCCGTTGGTCACGGGTCAAAGGTCACTGAAGGCACTGTGTGAGGATGACTCACCAGAGGAGAAGAGGAAGAGCCGCCCTGCATAGAAACCCGTTCACATTTACACACAGAATAAAAGAAAAATAAAACCACATGAAAACACTGGGATATGTGCAGAGAGTTCTGTTTGTGTCCGGATCAGTACCGCTCATGTCTCTGAGACAAGGTGCTACAGGTTATAGTGCATGTGAAAGGCTGCTTCCGTCTCTGCAGAGGTTTCCCTGCAGGATGCATGAAGCAGCAGGTACCACGGGTCCGAGTCCTCGATCCTGGATGTTCTGGACCATCTGCAGGGTCAACAGCTCACTTCATGGAGATGGTTACAAACACAGAACAAAGCACATGTATAAAGGAAAGACAGGTTGAAACCAGGTCCAATGATTCCTTCCTTAGCTGCACGGTTCTGACAGCTGCTGAATCTGTGTGAGAATAAGGCACAGAACCAGCTGAGCTCTGCTGGCGGCTCTATGGATCAGCTTATCGGCTTTATGCGCAAAACTCTCAAAAAGGCACAAACGTGGAGAGAAAAGCCTCCGGAATGAGTCCGTCTCCCTCCTTTCAGTTTAGTCAGTGAGATGAAGGTCCAGTAACAAGTTCTGAGTTTGGTTCATTCAGAAATAAAACAACCAAAGCTGCTTCCAGTCTGCTGGGGTTTAAATCATTGGATTTCTTTTGGTTCAGTTTGTAGCTGCTGGAGGAGAAACTGAGGAGAAGCAGTCCAGATGTTCCTCAGTGAGGCCCTCCAGTAAATCCAGAAAGTACCAGTCCAGAACCGGTCCGGTTCCCTCAGCTGCCCATGGGTTTGAAGGAGCCGTCCGGCAGCTGCCTGAAGATGCCCCGCAGCGTGTCCAGCTCCCGGGTCAGGTGCTCCACCCTCCGCCTCAGCCGGTCGTTGTCGGCCGTCAGCTCCACCACCTTCTGCTGCGTCTCCAGGTTGCGCATCTTCGCCTTGTCGCGGCTTTTACGCACCGCCACGTTGTTGCGCTCGCGCCGCAGCCGGTACTCCGGGCTGCTCTTATCGACGTGCTTCTTGGACTTCCCTCCTGCCCGCTGCTGCTCCAGCAGCTTCAGGCTGCCCTGCTGCTGGTGGTGGGGGTGCTGGTGGTGGGGGCTGGGCACCGGGGTCGGTGGAGGGGTCGGGTGTCCCGGCTGGAGGTGCATGGTGGTCTGCGCGCAATGCGCAATCTGGTACTGAAGGTGCGGCATCTGCTGCTGCTGCTGCTGCTGGGGGGGCTGCTGGTGGTGCTGGGAGTACTGGGAGTGAGGGTGAGGGTGGGGGTGGTGGTAGGAGGGCGGCAGGTTCAGGTTCATGTCCTCGTCGTCCCGCGGCTCCTGCTTGATGGCCACCGGGCGGATGCGCGGCGGGTTGTGCTCGTAGAAGGGCTCCATCTTGGAGTCCATGTATCCGGACATGTAGAGCTGCTGCTGGGACACAGAGTCATAGTCTCCGCTCATCATCTTCAGCTTGTCCTGCCGGGAGCTGTGGTGGAACAGGTCGGCCAGGAAGTCGTCGTTGAAGGCTGAAGGGTCGATGTAGGCGCTCAGGTCGATGGACGTCTCGTTGTCTCCGATGTCACCGCCGAGGTCAGCCGGGTCTCTGTAGCCGGAGGAGGGCTGCTGGCTGTGGGTCAAGCTGCTCATCAGGGGCCGGGGCGCCGCCTCGTACAGGTTGGAGAGCTCCATGGAGAACCTAAACCCGGGCATGCATGGCGAGGAGCTCCGGGAATCCAGTTTTAGAGAAGGTGGGGCTCTCAGGTGGGGCTCTCAGGTGAGACCAGCTGCGCTCAGCGAGACCTGCAGCTGCGTGACACTCTGAGTGTGCGTGGAGAGGAGCTGCGTGAAGCTGCGGGCTGCGGGGCTGATTCCTGCTGCTCAGTAACCTCTGAGCTGTCATGGTGAGGCTTTATAGGCGGAGGGAGGGGGGCGGGGCCGCCAGGGCGCAACACACACACACACACACACACACACACACACACACACACACACAGCCTGCGCTCAGACCTGGTCCCGCTCAGACCCAGAACATGATCCAACCTCAGAACTCGGAACCGAATCTTAGAGGAAAGTCTTCTTCTGCAGCGCAGAGATCTTATCTCACACCTGCACACCTGAGTTCACTGCTGGGACAGAAAACTTTCTCCTGCTCAGGTGTTCCGCTCCAATCATTCAGGTCTCTGCAGGAACCTGCTGGAAATAATAATGCATCGAAATGAGTCCGGATCTAAAGTCGGACTTTTTACAGTTTTATCGTTTCCAGACCAACAAACCAGCAGAAGGTGATCAGAGCGGGGGAGGGGAGGAGCTGAAGAGGAGGGCTGCAGCGCCCCCTATGGGCCGCTGGGACTCATTGCTGCTTAGACGATTATTTACAGCTTATGTTAAAAAAAAAGATATTTAACAAATATTCAGTGAATTCAGATCATTTCTGCTTTCAGTTGTTTCAGAAAGTCCAGCATGAAGATCTGAGTCTCAGACTCTGGATCATGAATCTGCTGCCATTAGAACTTGTTGCTACTCTATCATTTTCTATAAACACTAATTAAAAATCAGTGGATCTGAATAAAGAAAATAATCAACCAGTAAAGGTCCAGAGACATTTTTTAATTACAATCTTTTAATTTAAACAGAATTTAACACTGAAATAAAATGAGGTTTTTATGCTTCCTTGGTATACATTGAATATTTAAATAAAAAATATGAAAAAAATACAACATTTTTCCATTTTAAAATTGTTTTTTAAATATAGAACAACAATCGTTCAGTTTGGTTTACGAAGCTGAACAGTTCGTTTGTTATTTCCTTTCTTTTTTCTGTCTTAATGTTGGCAGTGGGCTTTAGGCTGCCCTGCAAGGCTTTAAACCTGGGTTTAACCGGAGACTAAGCCATTCTCAAGCACATATCAAGGAGCTCATTCTGAGCCTGGATCCAGATTTATTGTTGATTCTGTTCATGGTGGAGAATCCTGCTTCACAGCAGCAGGTTGAGCCAAACATCCTCTAAATGTGCAGGGTCATCTTTGAGCACGCCATTTCACTTTTCTTTCACCAGTTCACCGCAGTTCTTCCAGCAGTCCACACTTTCTCTGCTCTCTTTTTCTCATGGTCTTCTCCTTCTTTCCCATCGCCCGGCTTGCCACAGGTTTGCCTGCTGTGTCACATGCTACGTTCACAGCGGACGCAGCAAGAGCAGCAAAATCGCGTCTGCTGCTTCATTTTTGCTGCTTGTACCAGTTAGTTCTGACGCGCGTTGGGCGGAGCTTCACTATCCTTTCTCTGCCTTGCAGCTATATTTGCTGTGATCAGTGGGAATAAAGTAGTTTTAACATGTTTTTTAGTGAGAAAATCCACCAGTTCATCCAGATTACCATCCTGCCTTCCAATATTTTTTCTGTCGGAGCCGCTCAGACCCCCACATACCAGCGGTGCGCTGTCAGTAGGATCCCATTCATCAGCAGCCTCTGGCCGGGTCGCCTCCTCGCAGTTCACCGCGGCAGCTGGTAGGTGTTTTTCATCTAAATAATCCAAACTGCAGGCACCAGAATAATAAAAACGAACATAATCTGCCGGCAGATTTCTGCATTTTAAGTTAATTTATGCGTCAATAAACTGTTTCAGAGGAGTGATCATAGCGCTCTGATCATCAGTGATGCGTCTGACTCCCTGCCAGCTCCCAGATCAGCTTTTCTGATCGGTTGACGCGGCGCGTCGATCAGCAAAAGTAAAATTTTTCCATCTCGAGCAGCAGCGCGTTTGCGGCGCGCCACTCGCATCAGATGCTTAAACGCGCCCGACGCGCTGCGGGACCTTTTGCTGCACCTTGACGCGCGTCAACCATTGACTTTGCATGTAAACTCGCTGCTTCTGCCGCGCCTGCTGCGTCCGGTGTGAACGTAGCATAAAAGTAGCAGCAGCAGCAACCCAGACTGACAGCTCATTGGCTCATTTGGATCACGTGCAGCCTGGAGCCGGACGCTCCCCAGGGCTTTACCGTATTAACAGGAGAGGAGGCGCAAGTGAAATTAGACAACATGCGGTAATTTATGAATGTTTTAAATCAGGTTGGGTCTGGATTAGCCAGCAGGAGGATCCATATCCGTGTTGGGTCCGGATCCGCAGTCCCCTAATCCGTGACTTCTGCTGTAAACCTTTCATTGAGATGCTCTGGAGGAGAAGATCCACCTGAAAAAGGTTCTGGAGGATTAAAGTCCGTTAACAGGCTGGTTGCTGCAGCTTTAAATGCAACTCTGAGAGAAACAAGGTTGTCCTTCAGCAACATGTCCAACACTCCCACCATGTTCTGAGACCAACCCGACCAAACTTAGACCTCCTTCACTAAAGCAGGGTTGACCTTTACACGGTGATTCCATTTTCTCTGTAAAATCCAGATGGATCAGAACCTTTGAAACCACATGGAGGCTGAGATGATAGATGAAGTCTTCTGCTCATGGCTGCTGGAGGAAGCGTTGATTCTGTGAGCTGGTCTGGTTCATGGATAAGGTTCTGAGAGAAAACTGCAACATGTTTGGATCCTTTTTCACTCGTTTTTCTCGTCTCTACTGGGTTTAATTATAAAACAGATTCTTTTGATGTTGACGGTTTTTCTGTTCTGTTTTTATTTTTATTATTAAACTGGAATAAGGGTTGTATGAAATCTATGAGCCTGTTTAGTCTAAAGTCACACTGGAAAAAATCGAAATCTAGATAAGTCATTGTTTTTCTTTAAATTACTGCATTTGTTCCTGAATTGAGGAGGTTAAAGAGACACTTTGCCAATGGAACACTTAAAATAAGAAAACACAATAGCATTGTCTAATTTCAAGTGAAAATTCTCTAATTATTTTATTTTAAGAGTAAAAATACTCCATTGGCAAACTGTCTCATTTACCTCCTTAAAATCAGGATAAATACACTTAATTTAAGAAATTTTTACTTATTTCTAGATCCTTTTTGCAGTGCAGATGTGAGTTCATCTGTCTAACAGCTGAAACTCTCTATAACCCCCCCCCCTCCCCCCGACACCAAAAACCAAATGCTAATTCAGGGCGTCAGATTAGGGCGCCCCTGGTGGGGTGGACAGGAAGCCCCCACAGAGGAAGACTCCGACTGTTTAGATCATGGATGTTAATTAGTTTGCTGCTAACACGTTTACCCAGCTCAGCATTTTATCTCCATGTGCTAATCAGCTCCTGGTTCCTGGCGGGGCCCCCAGCAGGAGCTGGTGCCTCCAGATATTCTTCAACTTGCTCCATTTAGTCAGACGTGGGTTTAGTCTGACTACAACATCGGTCCAAAACGTTTCTTCCTCTGATGTTTTAAAGAATGAACTCAGAAAGATCAGTTTATGAGCTGCGATCAGGTCCAGATATTCCAACCTGCACCCTGATGGAGATCCATCCACTCCTCATCAGCATGAAGTCACTTGGATCTCTTGATGATTTCTTTAACCGTCAAAATGTGTTCAAAGTTCCAGCTACTGGACGCTGTTGGACTATCAGCCCACTGCCCACAGTCTGAGCAGCTGCATTTATGCACAACCCAGATAACTTCTGGAGAAAATGATCAGATGACACAAGAACTGTTTGGTTCCAGAGACACTGGGTTGATGTTCCTATACCTGAGGCATGGTGGTGGCTGCATCATTGTTTAAGTTTGTTCCACTACAGGGGCTTCTGGTTACTGCACAGAGCGGATGTAATCACAAAGAAGCTTGACTACCTCCAGATTATACAAATTCCAGTCAGATCAGCAACAGGTACACTGCAAAAACGATCTGAAATTAAGTAAAAATTTCTTAAATCAAGTGTATTTACCCTTAATTTGAGCAGGTAAATAAGATAGTTTGCCAATGGAATGAGTATTTTTACATTTAAAATAATATGATTAGATAAAATGCACTTGAAATAAGACAATGCAATAGTTTTTTCTTATTTCAAATGTAAATTGTCTTGTTCCATTGGCAACGTGTCTCACTTACCTCCTCAATTCAAGAAAAAATGCACTTATTTTAAGAACAAATGACTTATTTAGATTTACATTTTTTGCAGTGTGGT